AAACTTCTTCTTTTTGTCGGCTTTCCTTCAGTCAAAAATTGAACACGGAAAACAGCAGTCAGTTTTTTTTCTACGGTTTCCTTCAGTCAATTTTTGTTGTTATACATTTTTTTTTAATACATTTTTGTTGTTATACATTATTGATTGCTATTGGTATTGGGGGGGTGGCTCAATTCCTTATCAAAAGAAACTCACCTCCCAAGATCCTTTCTGAAATCAAATGGCAACCTCAACAACTTTGTTGACTTGCTCCTTTGCCCGTCCAACAAAGTTGTTTTTTTGACTAAGGTGGGTTTGGACCCATCTTACCTTTTTTCCAGTGGGTCGGTCATCCCCAGCGCTTTTTAACATGGCTTAAGTTAAACTCCCATAAAATAATAATGCTAAGTTGGAGGCCTGGCCCAGAATTCCGAGATTTCCACATGGAATATTGAACTTTTGGTTTCCTGGTAACGGAGCCTTGTACGACATGACTTCTGACAAGGCAATTGGGTTGATTGATGAGCAATTTTTTTCGTCTGTCTCGTCTTAATTATTATTATTATTATTAACGCCGAAATGGAGGTTTGAAAGAGGTTACGCCGCGCTTGACCATCGTCCCAATAGCTATGGGCTCGTTGGATTAGAGCTCATTTTATGTTGGATGATGATAATTAGGCTCTTATTAGTATTATGAGAAGAATTTATTTAAACCGTGAGGACAGAACAGAAGTTGCACAAAACTGCTAATACTCATGATGTAACCTCGTGCAGTCAATCAAGGGGACACTTTGTCTGTCAATTTGAGAACAGGGTTCTATATATGACGCAGGTATTAATAGTATTATTGTTAACATTAGTACTTATGTTAGGTAAACCTACTAATTAGAACAATAGGTATAATTTAACCCCCTGCTCGAGTGGGGACCTTTTCAACTTAATTACTCTTCCCAAACGTGTGCTTGCCCTCAAGAACAATAATGACAGCCTTCACCTCTTCCTCCCAAATCCCCCCATTCGACCAAGATGACTGTACCACCACCGTCGGAACAAATTCTACTTATAATCCGGAAATTGAAGTCTGAAAATTTTATTTCGTTTCTTAAAACTAACTGAAGTCTTAAAACTCAAATCTAAACTCTGAAATCCAATATCTAATTCGTTAAATTTCTGAGTTCTTAAGTATTAAATCGAAGGCATTTGAATGTGCATCACTTTAAGTAATAAATGAATAGTTTATCGTTTTATTAGATTAAATTTTGTCTAATTAATTCATCTGTTCTGTTTTGATTAATTCAGATGCGCGAACATATTAAATAAAAATAATGAATTCCTAAGGGCAATAAATAACAGTCTCCTCTACCAATTAGCCGCGCTTGGTTGACTGTTTCCATAAACTACTACTCCTTCTGTCCCACTTTGATAGTTCTGATTCTTTTTTTCACACAGTTCAATAAAAAATACTCCTTCCCTTTTTTTAACTGACGTTTAAGGTTTGCACACCAATTAAGAAAAGTTTTTCATTGCTTAAATCTGTACACTACTTTCTTTTTGTACTCTCATTAATTGTCCAATTCAACCATGTTTTCTCTCACTAGAGTACTATATGGAGCAGATAATTTACTAGGGTTGTTGCAAAGAGAGAAGCAATAATTACTAGGAGTAGTAATTAAGAACCCTGTATTTAAAGCTATTAATCGAACCGGGCAGCTCGCGAGCCGAGCTCGACCCGGCTCGATAAGGGCTCGGCTCGGCTCGTTTACAGAGAGAAACGAGCCGAGCTCGAGTTCTAATCAATACTCGTTTAAAACACGAGCCGAGCAAGGCTCGGCTCGTAGAAGCTCGGTAGGCTCGAAAGATAGGGGTATTTTCGTCATTTCAATATGTATGTGGTACTTTAACTAAGTCCCGTGTAGTCCTAATCCTTCCTTTTCTCTTTTGGTCCTTCGTTTTCCCTTTCCATAGCCGTCACCCAGCAGCCACACCCCAATCCCCGCAGCCTCCATTCTCACGCCACACCCCGCAGCCGCCATTCTCATCGCCAGGCGCCATCCATAGCCGCAGCCGCAGCAGCAACGGCCAGGCGCCTCCTCTGATTTCTGTCAACCCTTTTTCCGTTCCACAGCCGCAGCCGCACCCACCGTCACTGACTCACCATACGGAGCACCCTCCATTCTCGCCACCGTCACTGCTTGTGAATTCATGAGCAGCGCCGTACGGAGCCACCTCGGTAGAGCCAGGGGCCTCTACCATACCCCGATTCACTACATTCTGGTAAGTAGTAACCATTTCTTCTCCAAATTTTGCAAATTCCTGTTCATAGATTGCAGACCTAATAATTAATTGGTTTTCCTGGTCTAGAAATTAATCCAACAGTTCAGCTTTTTCGTTTTTTGGATTTATTGTTTTGGCCCTTTTCCCTTTCAAATGCAATTAAAGAGATCTCAGACACAGGAAGATTAATGCTAGCCTGAAAATAGACGATGACTTTGTACTTTTGTTTTCTCGTTCTTCTTCCTTTTCTTTTTCCTTTTTTTTAGCTGAAATTAGCTTTAAGCCTTAATTTTTAGCCAAACTTCTTCAGTGATTGTGCTACTGGACAGCAGCAGTCAAAATTGATATGGTGTAATGTGATTCCCTTTTTTTTTAATTAAACTTGGGAGGGCTGGGAAATTATTTTCCCGTGACAGGGGAGGTAAACTCCTAACATTTTACTTGATTTATGCTGCTTAAAATATCAAAATTCAATTACTGATTATACGTCAAATGCAGCTCAAGATTCAATCTTTGCGGGCTGAAGATGAATTACTTGGGATGAATAAGTATGTTTGGTACAAAATGAAAAACAAATTATTGATATTGGTAATCTTGGAGTCTATCTATTTCTTGCAAACTGATCCCATTTTGTGCCCAAACTTTAGAATTTGAATCTAAAGTTCTTGATAGTTTAGTTATGAATCTAGGTTATCTTTCTATGCCCAAACTTGTTCCTTTCTTTTCCTCGCTCGATTTTCATTTCAATACATTGTTCACTAACTATGCTTAGGGTGCATGGGCAGCCCTCTGCAGTTATATTTTCAATACAATTTTTTGGCTGTATAATTTCAAAACAGAAACAAAATAAGAAAAAAAATGATTTGTTCTTTTCCTGATTCCTTTCCAACTGATGGCAGAGCGTGGCTGGGCTGCATGTTTTGCATTTTCCAGTGAAGATGATGGCTTCTGAAAACTCATTGAATTGCTCTTGGTAGTCCCCCGTGATCATATGAAGGAAATGCTACATATTTATAGTCAAATAACACTTGAGTTATACCTGATGGTGGCTGTTTATGTACTTTTTCATGTTGTAATCTGATCTGGTTTGGACATTTTGGTTTGGAAATGTTGTTATTTAATCTGTTTTGGACATTTTGGTCACTGATATGTTGTAATCTGATGTGGTTTGGACATTGTAATCCGAGTTTGGACATTTTGGTTTGGAAATGTTGTTATCTAATCTGTTTTGGACATTTTGGTCACTGATATGTTGTAATCTGATGTGGTTTGGACATTGTAATCCGAGTTTGGACATTTTGTTTCTCCATTTTATGGTTTTTGGCTTGTATTGTCATTTGGCTCGAGCTTGTATTGTTGAATTTGATGGTTTGGACTTGTTGAATACGAGTGTGCTAGGGTCTGATATGGTGTCTCCCGTAAACGAGCTCGAGCTCGAGCTTCGATCTCAAAAAACTTGGCTTGAGTTTTTCGCGAGCTCGAGCTCGAGCTTCGAGCTCAACGAGCTCGGCTCGATTTCAAACTCGAGTTCGAGCCCGAGTTCGAATTTTTTACCACCACATCGAGTCGAGCTCGAGCGCCTTGTGAAGCTCGAATTAGTAATCGAGCGAGCTCGAGCTAGCTCGATTAGGGGTTCGAGTCGAGCTCGATTGTCCTATGCTCGAGCTCGACTCAGCTCGTTTAACAGCTCTACCTGTATTGGAAAAGAGAAATAAAAGGGTAAAATTGTGAAAAAATAATTAATATTGTATGGGGATAATAAAACGACAGATAAAAGTACACTAGAGCAAATTTCTTAAACGTCAGTTATAAAAAAAGGGAGCGAGTAGTTAACTTTGTTGGAACAATCAATTTAGGTAGCTATTTTTCTAAAATACCCTCACATTAATTAGAATACAATTTTATGGGAACTTGAATTAATGGTAAAAAAAGAATCAACTCTCATTAAATAAAGTAAGTTTATAGTAACAACTTACATTGAATAAACATATTTTAGGAAAATTAAAATACAACTATATTTTTCAATTGAAAAGTGGACTACAATTTGAGACAGACAAAAAAGGAAAATAGGACTATCAAAGTGGGACAGAGGGAGTAGTATACGGGAGAGGTGGCTAATTCTACTCGTAAAACCTCTCATTGATTGAAGAACTGACACAAATTTTATGCCAATGTTAATTGAAATTAACTTGGAACAACGCCATCATTGGAAATGCCAATTAATTAATTGGTCGGTTTCGCAGAGCATCGTTGAGGAAAGCAAATCTTGATGACATTAGAAACAAGCAAGGTTAACATTGGGGCTGGCATCATTACACGTGTTCCCTGATTCATCAGATGCTATCAAATTTGTCGGGGATCACTGAAGTTTCTGTCAACGGGACCTTTTGTGATTACGAGTAAGGACTCAGCTTTTACGGTGTCCTGTTATTCCCCAGTACAGTGAGTACACAACCAATCAATCATCCTATGCTGTTAAGAAAGCTCTTTCAGAAACTGACAGAAGAGGGTTCAAACCTGCATCAATTGTTAATACGCTTTGGTACCCGATTAAAAGTTTGCAAAATTTGCTTACGCTACGTATTTTGTTTTATCCAACTTGATCAGAGGACATCGTCTAAGTACTAACAATTTAAAGACACACCAGTTCACAAATGTCCAAGATACTGCAGAACATGTCAAAATTCATTATTCTTGTTCATGGGTAAATGCAGCATTTTCTTCCTAATGCGATTAAACTAGCTATCTGGATAGGGCCCAAAAGTCAACACAGTAAGAGGATTTGAGTTCCCCGGATTCGAGACTTGACACAGATAACTAGGGTTCATCTCAAAGTCGTTGCACTTTATATTTGGTTTAAGGGGGAAAAAATAAAAACCTAAAGAACAAAAAAAAAATGCCTATTTGAGGCTAAGTAAATTAACTATACTGCTGCCACAAACTTCATTTCTAATCTCTCTATGTACATAATTTGAAGCCATAGAAAATCAATCTCTGATATCATGGATGATGATGACTCAGTTTTTCATCATCCTAAGAGCCAGTGCTTGAAGTTCCCCCAGGTCGGTTTGTGAAGGCCTTTTCCTGGCATATGCCTGGAAGGAAATGTCATCTAAGCCTCTCATCATTTCTTGCACTCCAATTCCATCGCTGCTGGGGTCAATGGACTCAAGCGAGCAAATTGAGCTCTGGGGCGAGATGGAGTTTGCATAAGTTGGATAAGTCTGAAATGAACCCATTGCAGCCATGTTATTTGGCCAGTGATTCTCCGCACTTCTTGATGAGTCAATCATGGTTTGCGCCAGCTGAGCTCTGGCTTGCATCAGTTGAGCTTGCAAGTATGCCACCTGACAAACATAAAAAAGGCGGCAACAAGGCTCGTCTTCAGTTCTAAATAGTCGTACAGTTAAATATTTGAACTCCCATTGAAGAGTTGGAAAATATATATTTTAAAAGTCGCTAGGACTTCAAAAGCTTCAAAATGGAACAATCAAGAGAATAACAAAGTCCATGAAGGACAACAATTGATTGGGTTGGAAAACAGGATCAGTGCCAACTTGTGATGACCCTCCACGTCTCCCTCCCCAAATGGGAGGGGGAAAAAGAAAAGAAAGTTCAGGCGCAAAAGTAACTTTCACTGTCATGCAACAACTAGCTGTAGAAGGAGAAGGGAATCGGTACCATACCTGTTGCTGCAAGGCGAAAATATGAGCAACACAGCCATAAACAGGATCTCTGATCCTTGCTTGAGCTTCATAAGCTATAGTTACAACAGCCTCACAGCGATCAGGCACTGGGACATGCAATAACAACTTGGATACATTACTAGCACCAAATACCTTGTGAATTGCAGCAAATCTAGCAGGGCCTTGCTCTGAGCAGAAGTAAGGTGCAAAAATGCAATCCGCGGCACATTTCCTCCTGAGAAATTTGCATGCACCACACGGAGAACCGGCACCATTTGCCATCTTCTCTTCAAGTTATTAAAAGAGAGACTTTTGGCTTTGGGTACCTCTTTTTTTCTTTTTCTTTTCTTTAAAAGAAAGAAAAAAATTTATGGGCGTGCAGATATATAGAAAGAATACTACCCCTTTTTTTTTTTTTTGGTGGCGCACGGGCACACTAGAAAATGGTGCAAATGCAGGGACTTCTCTTGTTTTAGGTTGTTTGGACGGATGGATGGGTAGGGTTGAAGAAGTGGGGTGTGGTTTGGAGATGGAGGGTCTTATAAGGTGGCGGTACGGGGGACATGGAAGGTCTGTATGCCGGGTTCGAAGGGGACATCTCTTAATGGCTTATGCAATACGGGCATAATATTTTAAAGCCTCTAGTCTAGCTTGAGAGTTGAGACTTGGACAAGTTTTACAACTCGATCGATTTGTGATTCACATAAGAAATTCGCGAATGAATTCGATACATTTTCTATAGTGATTGTTCTTTTGACACCGCTGGTCTGCTGCCACCAGAGTTCTTGTTTGCTTTCAAGTTTCAACTTTCATAAAGAATTGAATCCAGATCCAAAATCACTACTCGTTTTATATATTATTTCCCCGCCGAACGCCGCACCTGGGAACTGCTGCGACTATTTCTTTATATACACACATATATATATACTACCACCACCACTGTATCTTTATCGCCTGTCTTCTATCGTGTCCAGAAGCAAAAATGGATTGGTTTTACTTGCGCGTGTGAGAGGTTCACCGGCAACTTAATTAGACTTAAGCGCCAAGCAGCGGTTAGTGAAAACTAGGTTAGCAGGAGTACATATTGTTAACAATAATGGAGAACCTTTTAATAAACCACTAATTGATAGTACTAGTAATAATTAATTGACCAAACAGGAAAAGATGCCTTGTGTCTTGATGAAGTGGGTGGCAACGTCCAGAGAAGAGAACCATAGAAAATTAATTATACCAGCGCTTGCGTTTTCTCTTTCTCACATTTTTGTGTAGTGCCTGGTACTGTTCCCCATTTAAGAATTGGAATGGTCCGAATGGCTAATGGATGGCTTCGTCCTCCGTCCTCGTGGAATTTGATTATAATATTGGTACTCGTGTTGATGAGATAGGGCAACCACTATAACCATTAAAGGGCACCTGTGACTCTTTTGACTTTGAAGCTTTGGGGAAGGAGAAGTAGGGTTACTTAATTTGCCTTGGTTTTGTCAGTCCCGAAAAATGTCATGAAATCAGATGTATGCTCCCCTTCGCTCTCTCTCCATCCCACCTTTACACATCACTGAAGCCGGCGATCAAATATTGAACTTGAGATGGACCGACTCCAAAATGCTCCTTCATCGACCTACCAGCAATGCTAGCTTTCAGCATCCTGCGTTCATCTTCACTTTTTCGCCCCTACAAGTTACTCCACAGAGTCGCTAACTGCACCGATTAATTGGCAGCTCAGGAATTACAGAGTTGAGAAATGAGATCCATTGTGACACAGAACCAAGTAGGATATTGAGTTAAAAAGTGATGATCGCCATTTCCTGTACAAGCTACACAGTTGATGGGTCATTACCCACCCTTGGTTGTTTGTCTTCATGATCAGTCCTCTCTCTGAGTCATACATACAGATCATGCACACGCAAAAGGTGGGAAAAAGCTGGCAAGGCAACAGCTCGTCATATCATATGAAGCTTGGGGGAAAAAAAGGAACAACAGAATCAATAGAGTCATCGTCAGCTCTAATCAAGGAAAATGGCAGTATGCTCCGAATCCATTATATTATATGTTGTGTTTCTAAGCATGGAGGTTAATTTCTAATTTTCTATCCTATCCGCAGCATCACTGCCATGATTTTCCCCTCAACCATGACATAATACCATTTTGATTCCTCCACCTCCACCGCACTTCAAATGCAGCCAGCCACAGCCTGTGACAAAGACTCGAATCACTAGTACTCGTTTCAAGAATGTGAATGCAGTCCCAGATAAAACGTACAAGTGATGACATCTCAACAGCCAAACATTGCAGGACTTAAAATACTCTGTTCCATCCCCATGCACCAATTCAGGTTCTTACGGTGGTAGTATCGACAAATTCAACAGGTTCGATTCACTAAAATGAACTTTTGTAAGTCAAGAAACAACTAATTTCTCTCATGACGGACCTTAAAATGGCCTATTTATGTTATACCAGATGATCAAGTACCAACGAATTTCTCTGGTGGTTAGTCACAGCATTGGGTGCTTTGACAAAGGTCGGAAAAATGGCAACTTGGTAGTCAGCTATTTGCAGCATTCTGTTTCATAAAGGCAGCCTATTTCCACTTAAGGTGTAAAAAAACCAGCAATCAAAGTGAATCATCTTAACAATTCACAAGTCTGAAGCAGAGTGGAGGTTTCAACTGCTGGAATCATCTAAAAAAGTACCATGCATGGAAACAAAAGGAAAAAACCCTCTCTATTTCCAATCGTAATCAGCAATGGGTTACATACTCCTCCATAGCTAATCTAAGACGAATATTAGCCAGATAATCGACAAAAAGATCAAGTAGGAATCTAGGATAAAGGAGAGTTCTCTTCACTACTTACAAAAAAAACCATTTACAATATCAACATGAAAAGCCAGATCTGAAGCTAGCCATAATAGGAGAGAACTAACATACTTCTCGATAAAGATTTTACAAACGCTAACTTCAACTTAGAGACAACTGCACAATCAACCAGCTCAATTTCAAAGTTGATAGATCATCCATACCAAAAGTTGTTTATAACACCATTCCTGGGCTAAAACCGAGCTTCCAATGGCCCCCTCAATACTATTTATGATGAAACCTCACCTTCAACAAGAACTGCAGCTTAACCTATACAGACACACGAGTCAGAAAAACGATCCTGTCAGATATGTCAGCATCCAGCTCTGAGTTACAGAAAACACTGAAACTGAATAAATCAATTAACCACAATGACTAAGCTATAATCTGGATACTAAATGTACAAACTCTAAATCAGTGAACTAATTCACTGGAGTCATTTTTGAGGCATCAGTGCAAAACACTATAATTTGCCTATCTACACAACCCATGGCACCATGCATCTTCTGCTGAAAACTAAGAATAAAGTAGAATACAAAAGCCCAAAACAAGTGAAACAATACACATATAAAAACTATAGAGCAGCTACAGTTAATTGTATGAGTCTTGTTTTGACCGCATTCGCCATGCACAAACTACTGGCTTATGTCACAGTGGTAATTCATCTCAGTAAGTTAGGAGCTATGTATCACCATAAAACAAAACTCATAAGTTACAAGAGTTACCACCTGATCAAAGTATCAAGAGAAGCTTTTCAAGTTTTTAACAATAAACACGGTTGATTTGAGAGCCATTAGAAAACAGAACATCAAACAAAGCTTCTACCACAATTGTCTTGACTATGTTAGTCTTTGCCAGAACTTCCAACTACAATTCCACAATGTTTGACTCATACAATAAAGAGTATTAATCTGAAAAGAACAAAGAAGTTATCATCCTAGACAGACTGAACACAATCTTTTAGTGAACTGCAAGACACTTCAAATTTGACAATAGAGATTCTACAATAGAAGGAAATAAACTTACTTGAGCAGTGTTATAGACAATGTACTCATTGTACAAAAGCTCAGAGGGCTTAAGAGTTGATACTGGTCTTCCACAAGGAACGACTACATCGCCCTGCCACTTCAAAAAGCCTGATTCTTGAGGTACATTCTTGCCAAGACCTTTGGTTGAGTGCTTCCCAGCAGGAGGCTTTTCCATATACTACATGACAGTTGAAAAGAAATAAGTTCCAAGAAACTACACACCATGGCGATTATCAGATGCATTCCATAGAGACGGTCAAGTTCAATACAAAAAGGTGAATCTACATCATCAATTGGTATGAGAATGTTGTCCATAAACCAAGTAAAAAGAAAAAAGGCGTAATAAGTTGAAGTATAAACAAACCTTAGCATTTGTAAGCTCATAAACCTCTCCCAAGGCCACTTCACTGAGAAGCATCAATCCCACAGGATTTTTCTTGTCGGTGAAGCAGTATTGAGCACTTTTACTAACTAGGTCAGCAAAGTAAATTCCCTTTCCAAACTACATGCAAGAGAGAGTTTTTTATTAGACCCCAATAAATAACTACATTCTTCAAACTTTTTTACTGTGCACTTTATTCAAACATGAGTGAGAAGAGCAAAACAGGAGATAGACCATGTATCCAGATGCAGGAGCTTCAGGAGGAGCAATTCTCAGTCCTTGACTAAGTATACCCACAAAGTTTGTTAACCGAGAACCTGAAGGAAGGAAAAATTTCAACTTCTGCAGTAGTATGGCACAGATAAAACAGTGGGGAGAAGAGGGGCAACTCTTTGAACCTCTAAATAATAATAAAAGAGTTCTACTCATATAATTATATTTTCAACTTGGAAGAACAATACATATGTCACGCATGCTTCAACTCACCATGCCACAGAAGCATTTTGTTACCAAGTTTCTCTCGGTACGGAGCAAACTTGTCGTACTCCCCTTCCCTTTCAAGAGCAAAGACTTCTTCCAATTCAAGAGACCATAGCTGAACACATTGTGAAAAATCAGGACAAAGTACCTCCTCAAAATATACATGCACAAGCACACTTTAAAACATACAAGCAGAAACATAAATAGGTAGAGGAAAAACCCACAGTATGTGTAGGAGCATGAGTAGAGTGGAGATACTTCTCAATCAATAAATAATCTTCACTGTCATGGGGAAGTGGAGAAATATCACATCTTAACTTCTTGTACTTGTCGTCAAGAGAATCACCATCATCACCACCAAAACCTACAAGTCTTGAAGCTATCTCTATGTCCTGAAGAGCTTCCAACATTTTCACCTACCGAAAGAATGTGAGATGTAACTTTGTCCAAGCAGTCCAAGTTTTTCTTTTCTTTGGTTCAAAAGATTTTCAAAAGATTTTTCTTTTCCTTTTAAGAAAAAATTGAGTAAATAATGAAGTTTCATGACATAAAAGCAAAAGACAGAAAAATGAATGGTGCAGGGTAGATTGGATTATCAAGCAAATATAAGTGGATCGATCTAGAAAGTACAACGAGTGACGAAGGAGTAAGCACTGCCTCTACCTTTGACTTAAAATCATCCTCATCCCGGATCACATGTGGATGAATAGAAGGTATCATAGTAAAAAACCGATTGCTTGCAGCAA